TATTTCAAGAGAATAGAAAGAGAATTTTTATAATACACATTACTCTCTGATTTTCGGAGTAGAATAAAATTTTTCAAGGATGACAGCAGGATAGATCTGGATAGGGGATTGTATATTTTTTTAATGAATATTTAGGAATTGGGCATAAAAAAGTGGGGCTAAAGTTTATATAATTTTGTAATCGATTCTTGATGGATTAAATCAAGAATTTTGTTCCATATGTTCGAAAATTAAAGAATATTTTTACGACCAAGATTCAAACTCTTTTAATCAATTCGGATTAAGAAAAACCATAGGATTAATAGAGGTGACGAATGGGTGAAGGGATGGGTACTGTCTTTTGTCTTTTGGGTGGTTGGGTTCGTAGTAGGGGTTGGAATGGAAATACGATGGTTATATTCACACAATATATATATATATATAATTTTTATTTTTATTTTATTATTATTTTTATGACAGAGGAATTCGCAACCGTTACTCTTTGAGTGCACACTAGGTAAACTCTCGAACTGACGCAATAGCCTGCAAATCATGGCAACCAGGTAAATCGCATTAAGCAAGCCCGCTGCGATATGTTCGACTGAGATATATTCACACAATATAGTTTTCTGTCAATCATCAAAGCAAGAAATTGTTAGTTCATATGTGCCTTGAGTCTTATGAAAAATTAGACCAATGATGATCTAATAAACTTGAAATAGTTAATAAATTAACTCTTCAAGAACCTGTATAGCAAAATTTCTCTTCAATAGTTGCCATCTAATTACGAATTTTGAAAAGGGAAATTACGAGGCCCAGTGTTCTCAAAATTGAAAAAAATTAGATTAATAACCTAAATAATTAAACTTTACATAATTCCATATTAATTACGTTCTAACTAAACCCCAAACCTCAACCCATGTTATTCATTCTAAAACCCTCATATATATATATATATCCCACGGTTGTTTTTTGTTGTCTCTGCCACTCCATTGCCTCGTCGTCTTCACCTTCTTCCTCCATCTTCTCTCCAAGGACCTCTTAAACATCGAGCCCTAAAAGCCCTACATTGCGAATCGCAGAAACCCTCACTTGATTTCAACTCCAAAATTAAAACTACGAGTTCTGCAAACACTGATTCCGACTCCAACATCGACTCGGAATATTGATCAAACGACAATGAAGAGTGATTTTGGAAGTGATTAACCATGAGAGAAAAAACGAAAACAAAAACGAGAACAAAAAACAATGAAAGTCGAAAAATAGCATGGGCATTAAGGTTGAGCCTGCCCAGCCTTATGTTACAATTATAGTGGCGATTTTGTTGAATTGGACGGGCACCCAAGGATGGTGGTATAATACTTGTGTCACCATACATGTATGCTATGATAGATCACTTACAAAATCTATCAAGAAGTGGATGATGAACACATTCAAATGGGGAATGAAGTTCAATCAAATGTTGTTAGCAAAGGAAGTATAGACTTATAATTTACATCCAACAAGAAGATCACATTAATAAATGTATTGCATATACCAGATCTGAATAGAAATATTGTAATTGGTGATTCGTTAGGAAAATCGGGAATAAAAAATCGATATATAAGTGGGGGCAAATTTATACTTTTTTGGAATTGTGTATTTGTTGGAAAAGACTATTCTAGTGATAGAATGGTCAAATTTTGTACTATTGACAATAATATCAATAAAACTACAAATTTAAATTATATTGTTGAATTTGTTTCTTTATGACAAATAGACAAGGACATGTTGGCTTATCTATTTTAAAAAGAATGATTAAAATCGGAATGATTTCATGTGAAAACATAGAATATAACAAATGTGAATTATGTGTTAAGTCTAAAATGTAATAGAAATATTTTCATAGTATTGAAACTAAATCTAATTTGCTAGAGTTAATTCATTTCGATATATGTGAACTAAATGGAATGTTAAGTCTAGGAGGTAATAGATACTTCATTACATTCATAGATGATCATTCTAAGTTTTGCTATATCTACTTGATGAAACATAAGGATGAAACCTTTAACATGTTTAAGATATACAAAATCGAAGTAGAAAATCAATTAAAATTCTCAGAAGTGATAGGGGAGGTGAATATTTCTCCAGTGAATTTAATCTTTTTTTGTGAACAACATAGCATAATACATCAATGTAGTATACATAGAGCACCCAAATAAAATGGTTTGGCTGAGAGAAAGAATAGCATACTAGTTGAAATGATAAATACTATATTATTAAATGTTAAGCTGCCATCTAACTTATAGGGTGAACCTTTATTAAGTGCGTATCATGTTGACCCCAAAAAGTGCGCCAACAGATGTCGGTCCCACCCGCGCTTGCGTGGGCGAAACAAAAATAAGAAAAATCATTTATATATTTTGAAACGGCTTATTTCGACGAGTGATAACTTTTGCTATGGTTGAACGTTTCGCACGTGGTTAAGGATGCGATAAACTAGGTTGTGAGCACTTTAAAATGGTGTTAAGAATGTGATTTTCGTTTGACATCCCGTAATGATCCGAAAATTGAGACAAAAATAAGAAAAATCATTTATATATTTTGGAACGGCCATCGCACGCGATTAAGGATGCGATAAACTAGGTTGTGAGCACTTCGAAATGATGTTAAGAATGCGATATTTCGATTTTGTTTGACATCCCGTAATGATCCCGAAAGTTGAGACAAAAATAAGACAAATCATTTATATATTTTGGAACGGCCTATTTCGACGAGTGGTAACTCTTGCTACGTTTGACCGTTTTGTACGCGGTTAAGGATGTGATAAACTAGGCCGTGAGCACTACGAAATGATATTAAAAATGCGATATTTTGATTTCATTAATGATCCCGAAAATTGAGACAAAAATAAGAAAAATCATTTATCTATTTTGGAACGGCCTATTTCGACAAGTGGTAACTTTTGCTACGTTTGGCTGTTTCGTACGCGATTAAGAATGCGATAAACTAGGCCGTGAGCACTTCGAAATGATATTAAGAATGTAATATTTCAACTTCATATAACATTCCTGTAATACTTTCGAAATTTGAGATCGTAAATAGGGAAATAAAGTGATGGGGTGGCTGTGTTGGGTGTGGGGTGTATTGGGGGTGGGTAAAAGGGGACGGTTTGGCAGTTGTCAGGAAATAATAATGAAGTATGGTGCCACATCAGATTTTTTTGAATTTCTGTATCCCTTCTGTAATTAATTTTCTGTACCTGAAGCATTATTGCTCATCGAAATATGACAGGTGACCAGCTCACCCAATGTGGAGATATGATTGAGATGTTAGACCATACCATGAAGACCTGTCCGAAAGCAAAGGCCATATGGAGAAGGTTTGATTTGGGCCAAAACATTTGTCAATATAAAGCTTTTCAAGGACATTTTACGGATTAGATCCATTGGAATTTCGTAACTCATTTCCCTAGCATTTTATGGATAAGTCAGACACAAATTTATTTATTATTATTATTATTATTTTATATATAAGGCAAACTAATCGATTGGCTTTCTCTTCTGTAAAATCAAATTAAATACGCATGGATGTTCTAAGTGAAACTCGGGATAATACGAACTGGAGGACTAAATAGAAACGACTAGGGAAAATGGATGATGGAGAAATACAGTGCTTGAAACCAATTCAACTGAGGCCATATATCTTTTAAAGATGCAGGCATAATATAGAATCTCAATAGAGTTTTTCCGGAAGATTGTCTCTGCTTGCTTCAACAAGTCAACATCGAGATCTTGCAAACTTTGACACAGAAATAGTTGTGCAGACCACTTTGTATAGTTGGAAGCTCCAACAGTCTCCATTAATTCATTACTTGTAGCTGACACAGTTGGGTTGGCCTTTGTTAGGGTCCATTAGTTAATTTTGTATCTCCATTTTTACGCCCCCAACCAAGGAATATCTAAAATTGAAATCACACAATTTATTGTCTTTTATTGATAAAGAATATATTTCATTACACCATATCTTACTATGAAGACCAAATGTCTTCTATAGTACAGTGCAAGCCACACAACACTAAGAGCTACAGACTGTGGCCCTGGAAATGCCATCGGTCCAGGGCTTGGCATAACTAGGACCGATGTGGCCATGATAAAGTAGCATAATTTTCATTTTTTTGGGGGTGGGGAATAATGTTGGAGTACAAGGGAGAATTCTTCCAGAATACTCATCTAAGGTAGACTTCACGTGAATAAAATATTCTAAAAAAATACCATCCACCCCCCCCCCCCCCCCCCCCCCCCCCCCCCCCCTCGCTCCCCCAATCATGTGTATTCTGGAGGGGTTCCAAAAGTCTTGGAGGGAAATAACTGCTAGGCAATGTACAATTACTACACAGGCAGCACTTGTATGACTATTTTCTTCTTTATTTATTTATTTTTGCCAACCAATGGAAAATGGACCTCTTGCACAAACCATGTCAAACTCCACCAGTACATATAGCATCTCTTATACTCTAAAACAGACATAATACTTACCCTCAACAGGAGAAAATCTTCGATGGACGTGATCGCAATGTCCTATATGGTGCCACCACCCAATGGAGAGCCGCCATAACATCGGGTGGTCCATTCTCACCCAACGAGGTGGAGCTACTTCGAGACTTTATTTTTTCTCTCTTTCCACCTCAAGTCCCAAGATGAACTCATTTCATTGGGTGAAAGTGGGCCACCCAATGTGGTGGCGACTCTCCATTGGGCGGTTGCACCAAAGTTTTTTCTCCCTCAACACATTAACATTTTTTATTCTTCTAACACACGTCAAGAGATTAATAGTTTTCGCAAGTGGATATTTTGCAAATGACAATGTCATTCTTAAATGTAGGCAAAGGTTACCGAATCTAGTCCACATTTGCCTAATATTAATACCACTGTCCTGAAATGCTCCAATCAGCTTAGCAAAGAAGAGCTTTCCGAGCATGATCGGAGCTTTCTTTTTGATTCTCATGATCTTTGATGATGAAATCTTAGGGTTGGGTTCCATTATCAAGAATTTACTTCCTCACCAAAATTTTATTATTATCTTTCATTGATACAGAAATAATTACGTGACTCAATATCTTACAATGAACACTAAATGTCTCCTTTCACGCAGAATTGATTGCAAGCCATACAGAACTAATAGTTTGATATTGTACATATGAAAATGTTGTTCTTACGTATTGGCAGATGTTACTGAAGCTTGTCCAACATTTGGCTACAATCAACACCATTGTCAGAAAATGCTTCCACCAGCTTAGGAAAGAGCTTCCTGAGCATGATCTTGAACCCCGTAGAGCTTCCATTTTGATATTCCTGTTTGGTTTTACTGTCTCCGAATGGATAACCTATTGGAGCTCCTTCCATATATGCATTACAAGCCAATAGAATATTCTTGCATCGTCCCTTAAAGTGCTCCTTCACAAGTTCCTCGAAATGCTGCAACATTTGATTCAAATTAAAAGGACGTTTCAAATATTTGTCCAACAGCATGCAGAACATAATGTAACATTATTATGATGTAAACAAAAAGCCATTCCTTAACATCTATATACATGTGTTATTGTGTGTTTGTCAAGAAAATTGACATATATCACAATTACAGTACGCAATGTCTAAATTAGCAACATAATAAGAAATTAAATTGTGAGTAAGGTACGTGCTCCAAGCCATACCATTGCCAGAATTAAGTATACTCGAACTAATTTACCTTTGGTGGTTTCCGTAGAAGGTACATCATGGATCTACAGCTGTCAAGAAAAGCATTTTCATTGTAGCTAATTGAGTTCTTCTCACCCTCAGCTTTGCCAATCAGTGAATCATATCCAGCCTCATTAAAATAAGGCTTTTCATTAAGTACAAGGGCCTGGAGGGAGAGGAGAACTTGAAGAATTGTGGAGGATCCCGGATTCCAAACTTCAGTGCCGGAACCTGTCCACGTATTGAGGATACTGAGACAGACCTTCCCCGATTCGTATAAGTTGGGATTGATGCGAAGTCCTCCAGAATTATAGTGCACCATCTGCACATATTTCATATTAACTAACGTTTACATCATCTAAATCACAAATTTCATCTGCACTCGATTTTTCTGAAATGCTTCTTTTTAACATCAATTACATACCCAACATCTAGAAAAGCCTACTTACAGGTGGCTCATTAGGATATTGTGGGGGTAGACATATGTCAAAGAGAAACAGTCCATCATGATATGGAGTTCCAGGTGCACCTACAATTGCCGCTCGAAGCAGATCCATTCTATCCTCATAGATGCGGACATAGATCGTTCCTGTAAAATTATGATTATTTATTTTTTTTTATTTTTTTTTATAGAAATAGCAAAAATGAGAAATACAAATATAAAAATCTGCCATTGTTGTGATAATTAAATGATAATACAGTTGACTTGGAAGGTATTTGTTACACTTGCAGTTGCCGATAATTTCTGAGAATATAACATCTATGAATCACCAAATTAAGGCCCTATTTGGTATAAATTAAAATAAAAATTTTAATCTAAGTTAATCTAAGTTAAAGTCAACAATTAATATTAATTACATATTTCATGGGATCCACAACTTTTCAACCACATATTTCATCCACTTTTATCAAAATCTAGTAAATATCCAATTTTAATCCGAGCAAAAGAGGGGCTAAACATTTTTAAACCAATCTATCTATTGTTTAGAACCAAGAGTTCACACATAAATTTGAGCTTGTGTTTGGTTCTTGTAGAGGTTTTCTAGCAACATGATTCTAACCTTGGTTTATTTACTTTCAACTTCCACACTAATGTAGGGACAAGCCAATACATGTACAGTTACACCAACACATGTACTTTTTCGAAATGCATATTTGTACCATTACATAATGGTAAAGTCAATAACATATTTTCTCACCGGGAATATCTTTCTTCAAAATGCTCCATTCTTGGTGAACCTTCTTAAGCCAGCCTCTTTTCATCTGTACAAAAACCAAAATTCAACCAACTGCTGGACTAGCAAACTGATCCACTGTTTTAAGAACATAGATTCCATATCTAACCTGAGGAGATTGCAGGACCCCCATACCAGATCCATCAACAAAGTGGTGGTCTGAGACACCATGAACCATATCAAACTGCCTAAAAAGTTCTGGAAGCTTGCTTCCAGATGGCAAGATGATTTCCTCATTAGCTTCTCTGGGTCTTGGCTCTGAAGTCATTCTTCCATAAATCTCTGAATCATCATCTACCAGTGGTTCATCAACAGTGTGCACATTGCAAAGTTCGAGAGCTTCCTCCTCATTGGGTATACCGAGTTTTTGACCATCTCCTGATGCACGTTTGTATCCACAAACAACAGATGAACCCAAAGACCCCAATAGGCTTGAAGTGATACTAGTGAAAACCCCAATAGCGACTTGAGAAAGGGAATATGAACTAGAGTCCTTTAAATTGTTATAGTTCAAATCCAACACATCCTGGCAGTTACATTTAAATTTAGTACCTACAACCATTTACTAAAAACTGAACCACGCATTATATACACCTATTACCAATAACTGATGTGGCCATGATTTGATGTTCCCTCTAAATTGTTAGATTGTTATTATGACAACTCAGGGTTGGGTTCCATCATTAGGAATTATTTCCTCATAAAAAATTTCAAATATGAACTCAACTTCAAAGGCCAAGTCATCACTCAGATAGAATTTATTAATTATGTGGGAAATTTATTGTCGGGCTAATACAACAGAGTCTACATATACTATCAATGTCTATCAACAGTTCTTTTAGTGGAAAGTAAAAAGTTTGCTTCTTGCTACTTTCAGTAACCCTGTTCCAATTTTTTTGAACTCTTTACCAAATTGCTACGAGTTATTGTCTCACTTCAGGAATAATTCAATTCTTCACAGTTTAAGAGAGGCAGAATTATGTCACCTTTCCTTTCTGGCCCACAAGTTGGTTCCCTTGTGCTGCAATGTCCCCATTTGATTGCTGAGTATTTTCATCGTTTAGCATAGAAGTGGCAGCTGTGTCGTCAAATTTATCAACCCGATATATCTCATATGGTGCGACCTATGATATTTTTGAGTAATCAACAAGAGTATTTAAAACAGTTAGTAGACATGTATTTTTGAAACAAATGAGAACAATGAAGTAGAAGATTGAAAGGTAAAATCATTTTCCACAAAGGGGTGAAAAAGGTCAGAGGGCCAATACTATGTTCTTCATAAATAGGCAAGAAATAAAAACAACCAAACCAAACCCAACCCAATCCCCCTCCACCCACCCACACACATACGACATTCAAAATGATAACCAAATATAAAATGTCAGATTGTAAATGACTAATCAACAACCATTAAATCTTTTAAATAATTGCAATACTTCATTTAGAGTTCAACTAAAAGAGGATAAATTTCAAGAAAAACATAAGATAGGTGCATACCTTGCTAGTGGCACCAGTAGCCCATTTCACTTCAATAGCCCCATCTTTGAAGCCAACTACTAAACCAATATGAGATAAAAAGTTGCTCTCCGTGTAATTATTCTGATCTTCGCCATTATCATTAACCTTAAGATGAGACTCTTCACACAAACATATTTTAGAGATTGTGTGGTTATTGAAACAGTTTTCATCTGCTAGATCCAAAATTATACTCCTTTGCATTCTAAATACTGCATCCCCCAGAGAGTATGAGTATTCCGGGTGCTCAACCAATTCATAAGCACTCACAATCTCCTCTATTTCTTTGTCCCCAAAAGCAGAGGAATTACACCATTTTACCTTCACTGTCCGTTCTTTTGAGTCCACACTTCTCACAACACCCCATCTTTGGGCACATGAAACATTTGAATCATCACATGTTCCCTTTTCCATAACAAATGTATCAGTCCAAAAATCATGAATATCAACAATATTCACAGGTAACAGAGAATGTGACTCTAGCCCCACCGATTGGCTGCCATCCTGCCACTGGACATCAATTTTAGTCCTTGTCTGAACAATAACAGAAATTTCCTGAAAATCAGGACGGGGGTTGTTTCTCAGAGGTATATTTTTTGATATCTCATGTCCTCTGACCAGCCCGGTGGAAAATGCATGTGTAAAAATCTGCTCCACTGGTAGAACACACCAATCACCAAGCTGCCAGTTTGCATGGGGAAAACAGGACAACAACGTTAAATTTTTTGAATCCTGTAAACATGGGGGAGCAGACCATTTCTCACCATTGATGGCAGCACAGCCGAGCCAGTCAACATATACGAGTCCAGCATCGACATTGCAGACAGTGCCTTGTTTTTTTTTGTTATTTCGTGGAGGGCATAACCAAATGACTGATTTGGAAACAGAAGGGAGCTCAACTTGAACTTTCTGTCCTGGGTAGAAAGGGTATTGCGAATCTTCAAGTGCATCAGGAGAAATGACAATGATCTTTTCTGGACCAATTGTCATTAATTCACTCTTTGTACCGTCATCAAATAGGACCGTGATACTATCAACTATCTTTTCTACTTTCCCAAGCCATGCCCCATTAACTACATAATCTCCAACTGAAATGGAACGTATTTTCTGAAGATTTTTGGAACTTACATTGTGTATTTTTCTTCCATAGATATTTTCCAAGTCCACTGTTAATCCGACATTGATCACCTTTCCCATTTGGCCCAATGGGTCCGATGCTAAGCAAACTATGTCCCCATGCATGAATGGCCTCTCAAACAAGAGGAAATCATCAATTTTTTCAATGGTTTCCTCAAGACTAGAGAAAATAGTACAGGCCTGTCCACCATACAGAGACTCAATGTCATCGTGATCCTCAGAACTGTCGCTCTCGCTGAGACTGTCGAAATCACTGTCTAGCAAATCCATAATGCTGATACTAGATAGTACTTGTTTAGTTATAATTTTACTTCTGCAAATTCAAAACAAACGATTTTATTACCAAAAAATGAAGTACAGGAGACTAAGATTGTTGAAATAGAAGAAGGATGGCATCTAAATAATGTTCTCACTCTTGCCTTACACAAAAATGTATATCCTCTGTGACATTCCTCTCTAAAAGACCTAATTATCACCCTAGAAGTTAGCAGTGAAATGACAATCATCTGTAGATTGAAGCTTGAGTGTAGATAACATATACTAGAACATGAATTATAATAATTGCAGATGAAGTATGGGAGACGAAGATTGTTTAAATAGAAATAGTATGCCATCAAAATAGTGTTCACACTTGTGCCTTGCTAAAGAATCTGTTTCCTCTACAATGTTTGTCTCTAAGAGACCAAAGTATCACCCTATAATTTAGCAAGTGAAATAAAAGTCACTTATAGGTTGAAGCTAGAGAATAGATAACATTTACTAGAACGTGAATAAGGTAATTGTGTCATTACTGTTGGCTATTTCATTTACTAATATGAGAATTAGAGTTCAATTGAAATGACCCAAATCAACACCAATCATCAAGCCAAATTGCTTCACATAAACAAGCATGGACCAAGTATGATTGTTTTCCTGATGAAGCTAACTAAACACAAAAAGAAGCATAATAAAATAGTAATGAAAATAGTAGAGAGGCGTACCGCTTGGGTTATGCTTTAGTCGAGACTGAGTAATTCAGACTGCACAATAACTAGAAAGTTGCAACTCTAGTTGCAACTGGAATCAGTAGCCTTGCCAAAAAGAGGAAAAAAAATAAAAATCCGAGGGCAAACAGTGAAGTCTCTCTGTTTATGTTCCAAATATTTTCATAGTCTTATTATCTCCACAAATGGAGTTTAAATGCCAAAGGAGATTTGCCCACTAAAGGGATAAACGGAGTCTTATTCAAGACTCCAAAATGCCAAAGGAGATTTGCCCAAAAATGGACCAAAAAAAGGGTCCTGGTAGAAATTCCAAGTTAGATATCACCAACTGGAGCTAAGCCCTCAAAGTCTGTATTCCTGACTGTTCTTATAAGTCAAGACCTTAAAATTGTCGAACCATCCTCAGCTAGCAAGGCCAACTGGAGGAACTTCAAATTTGCCAAAGAAGATTTGCCCTGAACCGATATTACATGGACATATATTGCTAAAGGCTTGAAGCAAATTTTTCTTTATTTCAGAAATCAAATATGTATTGCCAAAGGAGATGTGCCCGAGTATAGCTGACTTTTAAGCTCGGCTCCACCCAATGCCAAAGGAAGGAGACTTGCTACAGAGAAAGAGCTTCAACTGAGAATGAGTATAGCCGAGCCACCGGAAACAACACTGAATCTGATTATTATGTCCCGCAGCTAGAGTTCAATGAAGCTTTGTTATAGATCACCACTCTTCCTAAGTCAGAAAATTGTTGTTGCCAGTTTTAAATGTCCGTGGAACCTGCATACACACTGGCCATTGAAGAGAGAGTGACTATAAAGCAATGTATAACAGAGAGAGAAACAAGGCATACATTTGGATAATAGTGTACGAAAAGAAGAAAAAACAGTGTTCCCAAAATTTATACAATTTTCGTTTTATCATTAGTCAGTGGAAGCAATCATCATATCAAGTCGTAACTAGTAAATAATCAAGTATTTGTCATTTGGTTGCTTCAAGATTTCATACAGTATATTCTGAAGAAAAGGTATAAAATTGTGAATCAAATCAGGTGAACAGAAAACTTTCCAATAATAACAGGAAAACCAATATAATTTTCTAGTATTATTACAATTTCTTGCAAATGAAAGCTATAAAGCAGCATACAAAAAAAAAAAATAATAATAATAAATAAATAAATAAAAAAGTTTTTGCAGAAGATGCCTGAGGAACTTCTTTGTAATAATTTCTCATGTAAAATTTTTTCTAACTAAAAAATTAAAGAGGAATCATGTGTAACTGTAAACTGAGAATATTTGATAACATGAACTTCAACCCTGCTTCATTTTCATTCCTTGCATTAATGAAGATCATTTTGATTAGATTGTAAATGTTAAGGCAAATAAATTTCAGAAACTCAGAGTTCATCTTTTACTCATTTCCCCTTGATAGTCCATTGCTGCATAACAAACATGCACTACAGGTTCAAACTGCAATAACTATCTACTGGGTTTCATTTAAGCAGCCTAGGAACAATAGAAAAGAGGATCTTGCACACTGGATCATTCAAGAATACAAAATTACGATTTTCGACACCCTTTTCTTACGTGCAGTTCCCCTCTTTGTGATATCATAATTAACAGAACATGCATACTTTCAAGTGCAAAGAGCACCTAATGTTCAGGTAGGTAATGCAACAGGGAAGCATATCAAAATCTTGATGAGATAATATCAATCATGTATCTGAAAAGAAGAGTTCTCTTTGAACTCTAGCATTTTCTTCATGAGCATCTCTATTTCATTCTCCTTGTTTTCGCCTGATCTCTTACTGGTCACGTGCTCAGCCCATCAAGACCTCAACTAAAAGTGATCGAACACTCCGATTATGGTTCTATCATCTAAATGATCTAGCTGAAGGTCATTTGGATACTAAACAAAAAACTCTGATATTTCTTTTTAGCATCTTCTTAAAACACAACAATCACCTAGAATAAATTTGGTATTTCCTTGAAAGACAGAAATAGATGTCACGTATGTGTTTGAGAAAGATTCAAATTCAACCCAATTAAATTGTCTACTTACCTAGACCTCCTGCAAAAATGAAAAGAAAATCCATTCCCATGGCTCTTTTCTCTTTTTGCTAGATCTTTCCTGTAGCTTCTAAGTTATAAATTTTACATCAAATAAAACCCTAAAGATGATGATGAAGACAAAGAATTGGATGCTGCTATTGGAATGGGGGGAAAAATCTTTCCTACTAGCATATTATTAGAATCCGAATAATAAGACTCTATGCCCCCTAAATCCTGAGGCAGCCAGAAATTAAACTCAATTCAAAATTCCTAGGCAAATAAAATCTCCATAAACTGCAATTGGAGACAACAAGCACACACATATATAAACTTAACATATGCAAACACGAATCATCTTAGTATATCATAACTAAGACTAAAAAGGAACAAGGCCAAGTTAACAACCAAAAACCCCCAAAAAACTGAAAAATCTTGGGATGAAATAAAAAAGAACAAAATTGCAGAATAAAGAACCGTACCAGTTGATAACCTCCATCTCCATAATCTGCTGATCAACTGAATCAAGCCCCGGAATATGAAAAAAAGAAAACACCGCACTCACCTTTTTCCTCAAAGTTTCCTGCAATTTCTTGGGTTATATCCTAGAAAAGGGACAAAAAAAAAAAAAAAAAAAATACTGAAATTGATGATCACTGGAAGCAAGGAAAGGAAAGATTATGGAAACTCAGAGAGGCCAACACGAAGCTCTCCATATCCAACCCTTCCATCTATTTTCAAAGTTCTCAAACATCGCAAAGGGGTTCTTTTTCTCTTCTTTTGTTTGTTTGATACCAAAAAAAAAAAAACTAAGACGCACAGCTCTCTTGTTTCTATTTTGTTACTGTCAACTTAATTTTCAGTGTGTCGTGTGCTGTTAGGAGGTTAGCGAATGGTATATAAATGGTTCTATGTTCTGTATCCACAGGGATATACCATAGAATCTCTCCTGTATTTTTCTGTTTTTCATTCTTTCCGAGGACGTTGACACACCATTTTGAAAAAGCATAAAACTTGAAATGGTTTCATATTCATGGCCTTTTCCTAAATAAATAAATAAATAAATAAATAAATATATATATATATATATATATATATATATATATAAAGAGAGAGGAAAAAATGAAATTGACTAAAGTACCTTAAAAATTTCTAAATTCCCAGATGGATCCTAAAATTCTTTCTTCTTTTCCTGAATTCTAAAATTCATTTATTTCACTCATTGAAGGGAATTTTGAATAGCAAATTGTATAAAATCTCTAATTTGATGTGTAAAATGACAAGTTTTGTTAGTCAAATATTGAATTTAGTAGATATATGTCGCAATAGCCAATCAAATCTTAAATTTTCTATGCAAAAGTTGAGTATGCTAAACAAATTTTGACTTTGCTTGGCTACCTAATTTCAAACGTGGATACTTTTTGATTTACAATCCTGGATTGCACTCTATTTTTTTCGTTGAACTCTAAATTCATTATCTTTTCAATGTTATATTATTTGCGCAATCAACACTTGTATAACAAAAGTTGTACAATAATTTCGTCACGTGAAGGTTTCTCATTTTTACTTCTTTTGATATTTTATATGCGAACTTCATTTTTTTTACATCAATCATGATAAGCTCAATATGGTCCAAAATTTCAAGATCCTGCAATTTCAAGATTCTATAAAATTTTAGAGCTTCACAAGATTCTGACATTTCACAACATTTCAAGATTCTCTAAATTATGTGATTACATTAATATTGAATTTAGGAGAATCTCCGTATATTGTGAAATTCTCAAATTTAGTATAATTTCAAAATTTGGCGAATCTTGAAATGTTGTGAAATGTTGAAATATTGTGAAATCTCGAGTTTCATTGAAACTTTAAACTGTAAAATCTTGATTTTTTTCATAAGATTGAGTGTATGTAGTGTGTATATTGCTTTTATAGGTTAAGCATTGTAATTGAAAACGGTTGATGCAAAAAGAAGAAAGTTCATGCATAAAAGGATCGAGATAGGAAAAATGTGGAACTTACGTGCATAGCATGCGAGGAAATTAGTTCATAGCTTTTGTTACACAAATCTCTACCAAGAAAATAAATATGTTTAGACATCTAATTGAATTTAGAGTTTAATAAAAATGGAGTGCAAGAATTTTGGATCAAACATTATGTGCATTTGAAATTATATAATCAAGCAAACTCGAGATTTGCCCAACATAATCAACTTTTGCTTAGCAAAATTGAGATTTTCATGGCAAACTCGATATTCAACTACTTGATAGATGTCTAAAAAATTCAATATTTGATTAGTATAAAATCGTCATTTCGCCTATTTACATAATCCAAATTTGATTTTCTACAAGGTATTTTCAATATTTCGATTTTCATTTTTTAGGTTGATAGATTTCATCTAGCTTTTTCCTCTAACTAGTATATTCTGTTGGCTAAATAGGATGCATCACTTACAAAATTTTTCTTCAAAGCTATTCGTTTGGCCTTCAAATTTGTGAACCAACCATTGGTGATATATAATCTTAGCCATACAAAGAATTTGACCATTGTACAAATGAATTTATTCGTAATTGAACCTAAAAAAATTGGTCACTTTCACAAAGTCTAGCTACATTTCAAGTCTACTACTGAAAATTGACTACAAATCAGGTTTTCCTCTTTTCTTTTTCTTTTTTCCTGGTACCCGTCAATTGTTTTGTATTTTACGTGTGCTAAAAATACATGTAACTTGTTTGTATTTTTTTGAGGGAAAATTGGTACAAATAATCCCTAATGTATAGGATTACTGTACAAATGGTCCTTAACTTTATATCGTAGTACAAAACCTCTAACCTTTCACTTAGTGGAGCAATTAAGTAAGTCAACTTTTTTATGAGAAAAGATTGAAATGCCTTAACTCTATTGAATAATAAAATAATGTGCATACATTTTTAAAAAGAAAAGAAAATAAAAAGAAAAGCCTACTCATCCTACCAATGAATCCCTCACAAGAACATATTCGATACACTTGTGGATTTTTATATTTTTTTTAATTGCATCATATAAGCAAAATAGAAACGTTATTTAAAAAACTTGATAGAGATATATCAAGATGATGTGATAGCGAAAAATAGATAAATTCTAGATCTCGACATAAATTTAGAATGTCTATTAGACATGTCAACTCAGTGAAGTTTATATTTCACTTGCAAATTTAAATGTGATGTTATTATTTTGAAAAAAATAAAATAAAAGACACCTATCTTAAGCCCTTAATTGGATTAGATTAAAAAAAAAAAACAACAAATTTTAGTAAATATTGATAAAAATTTATGAAATGTGTACTTGAAGTTGAAGGGTTGTGAGTAATTATAAAATTAAAATTAATTATTAATTATAATTTAAATGATAATTCAATTTATTAGTAGAGTAGAGCACGTATCTTGTTGTGTCGGCCTAGTGGGTCGGGAAAGTTGTCGATTGATTGGAGTACTTTTGACACGAGTCAACTCATAAGTAGGCCATTCATTTTTGGATCTCATGTGTTACTTATTCGTGTAGAATGTGACTAATTTGTTGTCAATTGGAATATTGGCTTTTAATCAATAATTTGTTAAATTATAATAAAATTAGAATATGTGTTCAAATTCACATACATATTCGATTTTTTGGCAACTGCATTAGTGTCTCATTGATCTCTACGTTACAAATGAGAATTCTATAATGATTCGATCTTGATAATGGTTCGTCGAATTCGGCTTGTTCATCCTGGCATGGACCATGCAAAATTTAGTCTGAATAAGTTTTCTTAATTAGTACCAGCATTTAAATTAATTTCATCATAAGAGGAGGTCATGCATTCAAATAAAGAGAACGCCTAAGAAATTTATGTTGGGGCTGAAATCCCAACGTAAAATATGTAATTATCCGATACATGGTGAATCGAGCATGGACCATGTTGGGGTGAGAGTCTTGAAAAGAGACGTCTAACTCCTCATTTCTTTAAAATATTTCATTTATTTCATTAACATTTATTATTTTTTATGCAACAAATTACTCATATAATTTATATCATTTTATTAGAAAATTTTACACAGGGGCATATATCAAAAATTTTCGAAATTTCACATTTGAAAAATTCATACCTCATGTAAATTTTTGAATACAAAATTCGGTGTAAATTTACATGGGTAGGATTTTTTTGAATGTAAATTTCTGAATGTAAAATTCCTCATAATTTTTAATTTTTTGCAGATTTCAATGCGTCCCATAACTCAAAATGTTTGCGTCCGCCACTTATCAGATAAGGATGATTCCTAATTTTTGCATGTAACATTATTTTTCACATAAAGTATATAGTCTGCATGAAGCTTAGATGATCTAAAAATCAATGTATGATTTCTCCGTGTGAGGTTAGTTCTATGCTCGATCAAAGACATCAATCCAATGCTAGACATGTTCTTCGTCCAACCAAACATAATGATTTGGTGTTAGTGCAATAAAATATGATACATGGTCGTCTAATTGTTGTGAGTTGAAGTTTCAAGGAACATATCCATGTTGATCAAACACTAACTCATCATCTAACCTAATGCACTTTCTTTTAGCCCAATAAAAGCCGTGTAGTTCTTGAAAGGAGAGCTTATGTAACTTCTGAATTTGACATCCACTTGTTATGGCTAGTCATTATCACAAATTAAGGGCCGTTATCATGACTTTCGCTTTTGCTTTTATTTTTAGAGAAAGCTACTTTAAATTTTGTTTGAAAACTGATTTTTAAAAGTAATTCTTATCCTATTTCAAAAGTACTTTTAGAGAAATTCACGCTGAACCATTAGTCAAATGGGTTCAAAAACTACTTTTGAATCTTAAAAACACCCTTTGACATTTCAAAAATAATGTCAAATGGGTCCTAAAGCGCCAAGTTGTAGAATTTTTCATTTATCTTAGAAAATTGAGAAATTATACGATAATTGGACATTTTTTGCCATTCTATTATTAGCTATTAAGAAAGAAGAACATATTTTACCATTTAAACATTTTGAACAAATTTGCTCGCTAATGTAGTAAAAAAAAACATCGTGACGCATGAACAAGATTCTTGACATGTATTGATTGATTATTCTGATTTAGCCCTTGATTTGAAATTCAAAATTTGAAGTGAAACGAATTATAGATCTATTAGTTATTCTTAGAACAATTCGACGCTGACCAATTTAACTTTAATGAAAAAGGCTGCTTTAGAATTGTTGCTTTTTTGAAAAGGCTTGATTTAGTCTAACGGCAATTGGCGCTATAAATCTTAGTTGGATAGACATTAGACAAGTGCAACTTCTCAACAATGAAAATGACTTGCTCCTAACTAATTCTTTCCACTTCGACCAATATTTAAGATTATTTTTGCTTTTTTTGAATGACTATCTACTTCTTTTTGTGGTGGATTACAAAGGGATTCGGCACTTTGCTTTTGTTATTCTTTGGAATTTAATCCTCCTTAGTTGCCATCCTTAGTGATCTCAGGGGACCACGTCAAATACAACAATTTCATTTTGGGCCCTTTAAGTTATATCAACATTCTATGATTTTCCCAATATTTTTTAAAATTTTAAATTATTTTACAACTATTTCTTACGTAATTCGATAAGACTTTTCCACTATCACCCAAAAAAAACCAAACTCTGCTTTATGTAAAGTTGCCAGAGTAGCGGACGGGTGAGTAACGCGTAAGAACCTGCCATTGGGAGAGGAACAACGACTGGAAACGACTGCTAATACCCGTAGATTCGTTCATTTGACATGGATAACCGTTTAAATTGTACAACATTTTTCATGGAGCTGCCTAGCCTGATTATAATGGATGCGATTGTTGGGGAATTATCAGTGTTTTATTATTGTTGACTGTTCGTGTATCAATGAATTTGACAAATAACACAACCTTTAATTTAAGCTAATCTAATGACCTAGTTATGATAAAATATTTTAAAATTTCTGTACCAACATCCAAACACATCCC